TAGGGTTTAGCGTTTAGGGTTTAGGGTTTAGCTTTCTAAGGGGATTAGGGGTGAGAGGGTGTATAGGGTACATAGGGTATATGGTGTTTATAGAGTTGGGGTATACAGGGTATAATGACTCTACCAACAGGGTTTATAAGGCCTGTAGGGTATACAGGGTTCAGGGGACGAGGTGTCAGTTTAGCTAAACGGGGCTCTACGAGACGCCTAGAAGCCGAATCGTTTCACATTGTGTCCTCATGTTGATTTCAGGGTGCCAAAACTTGGGGGTTTGGGGGCCTGAAGGTCCTTAAGCCCTAAACCCTAAAACCCTAAACCCTATAAACCCTAAACCCTAAACCCTATAAACCCTAAACCCTATAAACCCTAAACCCTAAACCCTAAACCCTACACCTTCACACCCAAACCCTTCCCTTGGCTCAGGGCTAAGGAACACTTCCAGCTGGACCCTGGTGCGAAAACCCAATTCTGGACCCAAGAGTAGCCTGGGAACGCAAAGGGTGCCCTTAGTGGCTAGCAGGGGGCTTATAAGTTGGGATGCTCCCCCTTATGCTAACAGTCCGCGGGTACTCCAATCCCTATTCAGGACTCTTAGTAGAAGGGGCTTCTTAGGGAGCCCAAGCCCGAAAACAAAAGGTAATAAGGGCCCACTCTGGGCCATAGATTCAATTATCTCAGCTCTATCCCGCAACCCCCACCCCCCCCTCCTTTTCTTTCCGACAGGAAGACCACAAGCCCTATTTGGGACCCTATGAACCTACTTTAGGGTTTAGGGTTTCAGGGTTATGCCTGCTAAATGGGGGGGGGGGGGTGTGCCTGAGTCCCAGGTAACCCCATCAAGCTCAACAGTCCCAGGTGCTTCTACGCTCTTAAGGCTACGAGTTTAGAGCTGATGGGCCTGGGCCCCATAGAATCTTTTTTGGGCACCCGAAAAGCCACCAAAAAGAACTTCCAAACCCACTCGAGGCTTTACGGATCTTGCGCCGACTCTCCCCGCTTGTGGGGGCTCCTGCAGCCCCCCAAAAATACTGCAGCCGCCCCCCTGGAAGTTGGGGATGTTGACTGCTAGGGCTCTGAAGAATCCTGACCTTCACCCTCACGAAATCTATCCCCCCAAGCCCTTCAACCCCTCCGTGAACCCTGTGGGCACCCAACAGGACGGGCGGTAGGTTCTCCTGCAAGGAGGCCAAGCTTTTGCGGTGTTCGGCTCTAGGGCCCGGACGGGGGGGGGGAGGGGGAGGGGAAATCCTACTCTTCCGACTCTTAGCTGGGGCTGTCAGGCCGAGCAGAAACCTGCTTAAGCATACGTGAGGAAGGAACTACATCTGAGGGTCCTGGGTCGGCTCTATGAAGGCTTCTGGCTTCAGACGCTTAGGGTCTGGACCCGAAAGATCTGGAGGCCCTAAACCCTAAACCCTAAACCCTAAACCCTAAACCCTAAACCCTGAACCCTGAACCCTGAACCCTGAACCCTGAACCCTGAACCCTGAACCCTGAACCCTAACCCCCAAACCCCAAACCCCAAACCCCAACCCCAAACCCCAAACCCTAAACCCTAGACCCTAAACCCTAAACCCTAAACCAAACCCTGACTTGGCGGCTGCCCAGCCTGCACGTAGAGGATGTTGCGAAGTTCCACCCTGGCGGGCCTCAGAAGAGAACCCGGTTTAGGGTTAAGGGTTAAGGGTTTAGGGTTTAGGGTTTCGGGTTTCGGGAAGTGATGGCTAAGCCTCTTATGGGCTGGCAGGCGACCACAAAGAACCACACGACCTACGATCATCTTGCAGAAAAGACTGCCTAAACTCAACAAAACTAAACCCTAGCGACATCTAGAAACCCAAAGTTAAGGAAGCGTTCCAGAAGGCTCGCTTAACCCTTATATACCCCATACAACCCAAAGGGGCCGATACCTCACAACCGTAAGGGACCATATTGAGGGCCCGTGCAACTGTCCTTAGAACCCTAAACCCGAAACCCGAAACCCGAAACCCTAAACCCTAAACCCTAAACCCTAAACCCTAAACCCTGAACCCTAAACCCTAAACCCTGAACCCTAAACCCTAAACCCTAAACTTTCAGAAGGTCTGGGTGTCTCGCGCATCCCACGGGCCGCCAGCGTAGGCGGCCCCCAGGTCGAAGTTCATGGGAGCAAGGACCTGTTCTAGACCCAGGAGTAACCTAGGAACAAGAAGCTAAACCCTAAACCCTAAACCCTAAACCCTAAACCCTAAACCCTGAACCCTAAACCCTAAACCCTAAACCCTCCTAGACCCTACACCCTAAGCCGCTTTAAACCCCAAAAAGGGGGTGTTCGCTGCTGCGGCTTCGGGGGCGCCTCCTGCTCGCATTCCTGTCGACCATTCAAAGTCACCAGCAGAATGTTCCCCACGAGGCTCACCGCCTGAAAGGAGGGTTTAGGGTTTAGGGTTTAGGGTTTGGGGTTTAGGGTTTAGGGATTAGTGTTCCCCCTTATACTCGTTAATTAGTAGGAAGTCTACTAGGGTACTATCATCCCTATCAAGGACTGTTAGTAGAAGGGGGAACATCCCAAGCAGGGTAAGTTTAGGGGCCTTAATAACAGACTTAGGTTTGTTTTTTGGAGGGGGGGAGGTTATTCTACAGTAGTACAATTATATAGGGGCCATAGAGGGAATACTATTCGCAATTATTCCGACCCCTATATTGAGCTTAGGGTTTGCGGTTTTCGGCTGAGTCAGCAGTTCGTTCGTTGTAGGGTTTAGGGCTTTCATGTTCAGGGCTTGCGCTGCAGGGGGCATCCTGCACCCAGTTTTCTAAAGCCCCTCCAGACCCCCCCCCCCCCAGCCCTAAACCCGAAGCGCCAAAATTCTCCGACTCATCCAAAATAGGGGGTTAGGGTGTTAGGGCTCTTGAGTGACGGCCGGGAATCCAAGAAAATCAAAACGCCCGACTGTGTGCCCGAAACCCCAACACCGAGCCAGTGCAACGCTGGCAAGACTTGGACCGTTCAATCTTCCCTCGCCCAAGCTCTTTGTAACCAGCTTCCCTAAACCCTAAACCCTAAACCCCAAACCTCCAACACCTCAGCCCCGCACCTTCAACCAGCCAATAAGCCTAAACCCTACATTGTTCCATTTTGGGGTCCTAAACCCCAAGCCCTAAACCCTAAAACCCTAAAACCCTAAACCCTAAACCCTAAACCCTGAACCCTAAACCCTAAACCCTAAACCCTAAGCCCTAAACCCCAAACCCTGTATCGAAGCCGGGGCCGCTACCAGGAAGTGGAAGCTGCGAAGCTCCAGGGGCGTCTGGATCAAGCCTCTGCGCGCTCCAGACTTCCGTGGCCCATGTAGGGTTTAGGGTTTAGGGTTTAGGGTTTAGGGTTTGGGGTTTAGGGTTTAGGGTTTAGGGTTGTTTTTGCGGGGGTCAGGGGGGTGTCAAGGGGGGGGCGGGGTGTCAAGGGGGGGATGGCCATCGTGGTTTTGGGCTGAGGCTGGGCTCGACCTTCTGTGGGGTTGAGCCCTTTCGGGGTTCTTGGGCCTTATCATGGTGCTTAAGGGGCACATATTATTGGGAAGTTCCCCCTTCTACTAACAGTCCTTAACAGGGATTCTAATAGGGGGTACTATCATCCTTATTAAGGACTGTTTGTATAAGGCGGAACATCCCAGGGCGCATAATGCACCAGCCCAGCGCCATCTTTCTGCTCCCTCGCCTGCGCTAAAGCGCTCCAAGCCCTGCCTGCTGAAAGTTAAGTTGGGATGTTCCCCCTTATACTAGCAGTCCTCAAGAGGGTTTCTAGTACCACCTAGTATTATTACTACTACGATTGCGATTACTGTTACTACTACTATTACTATTACAATTACTATTTCTATTACTATTGCTATAATTACTAATATAAAGGACTGTGAGTATAAGGGGGAACATCCCAAGGTTGAAGCAACGAGGGCGCGACACGAATTCGCCCAGGACTGGCCTTTGAGTCCGGGCTTCCTTCCGTACGTAGGACGGCGGCACGACTGCAAGGGCACCCGGCTGGTAGGCCGACCCCCCAAAAAATGTTTAGGGTTTAGGGTGTAGGGTTTGGGGTTTAGGGTCTTCGACTTTAAGAGGGCTGGGTGGTGCAACTGGGATTCCAGCGTGCCTGAGAGGACATCGGGATCGGGCAGAGGGGGTGGCCAGTGTTTGGCCTCCCCGCTCAGCCCAACGCAAGCTGCTCGGCAGACCGGCTAAGGGCTCGGAGTTGAGGGTGTTCAGGCCTCAGGTCTCATATATAGAGGCCTGAATCATTAGAATAGGGTTTCGGGGGTTATTCTAACTGTAGTTTCATATGAGAAATTATTCGACCCCTATGTTTTAGGACTTCTACCCTGTCAACCTTATACCCTCAGACCTAAACGCCCTAATCTCTAAACTTTAAGCCTAACCCACACCGCGCCGGCTGGGTTGTCGCTCGCACAGAGGCCCTGCCCGCCACACGGCCTGCGGAAGGATTTGGCGTCCCACGGGGTTCGTTCCATATGTACTTGTTGGCTAGGAATCCTGCACCCTAAACCCTAAACCCTAAGCCTCAAGCCGCCTAAACCCAACTAAATGTTCGCCCTCCAATGCATCTGACAAAAATGCCAATGAGACCCTTTTTAAGTCTTCAAGCTTGGGATGTTCCCCCTTATACTGACAGTCCTTCATAGAGTACTATAATGTTCCCCCCCCTATACTAACATCCCAACCTTTAAGTCTTAACCCAAGACAAGGAGAAATAGGGGCTAGCCCTGTCACACACCCAACAGCATAACTTCACGCTGGGCCACCTCCTCATGTTGTTCGTCCGTTCTGTTTTTTTGCTTCTTGAAGCCCTAAACCCTACACCCTAAACCCTAAGCCCTTCCTCCTTTCGACGAAGTCCAGAAGGCCAGGACTCTGAAACCCGCTATAAGACATAAGGGGTGCCTAAACCCTAAACCCTAAACCCTAAACCCTAAACCCTAAACCCTAAACCCTAAACCCTCGGCTATGCCTCAGTTCGAGGGCTCCGTCGTCATCTCCGAGGAGGAACCCGAAGGCGCTCGTGAGTCCCTCGAGGGCCGGAAGCTGTCGCTGGCCGCCTCAGCACAAGGAGCTTCGGGCCCGGGAGCAACCCGAAACCCGAAACCCTAAACCCTAAACCCTGAACCCTGAAGGCTTAGGATTGGATGGTTTCAGGGCTGTTTAGTGGGCTGGGCGGCTTGGTCTGACACCTGGCCTCTTTACCTGCAGTGTCATGGGTTATACCTACGAATTAAGGGTAGTTACTACTCTATACTGTAGGTGAAGAAGGTCCCAGGTAGACTTCATGAAATTCGGGTTCTGAATTTCCCCGTGACACCTGCACCGCCTGCGCGTTGGTACGAGCCCTGCTAGGCACGAGGAACACGTAGATGGCGAAGATCACAGATGAGAGGGCCACGGTCACGGAGGCCAGCCATATGCCTACGTGATGGAGGGCTTCAGGGTTGCTGGGACCTGCCCTAACAACCCTAAACCCTCAAACCCCAGGCCAACCATAGACCCTACAACCCTAAACCATAAACGTGTTCGATACGGTTTTTGGCAGCCTGCGCTTCAGTTAACTGGGGTGACGGGCCGGGAAGTTGCAACAAAGCGACTTGCCACGAAGACCCAATACAAAGGCCTTATGTTGTCGGTTGCGTGCTGGTAGTTATCTCATATACCCTCCAACTCATAGACACGCATAATTGTAGCCCGAAAGCCTAAACCCTAAACCCTAAAGCCTAAAACCTGCCCCAAAACCCTAAACCCTAAGACCTAACCCTAAACCCTAAACCCTCAGCCCGAAGCCCTAAGCCCCAAGCCCTAAGCCCTAAGCCCTAAACCCTAAACCCCAAACCCTAAACCCTAAACCCTAAACTCTGTGTTCTTCGGTCTCCGAGGTACCACGGCGAAGCAGCGGCTGGGCGTCCGCAGAGCATCGGGCCTCTCAGAAGGCTTCGCTTGACTTGGCCCTGGCTTCGCTTCTGAGGGCTTAGGGCTCTTAGGGTTTAGGGTTTAGGTTTTAGGTTTTAGGGTTTAGGGTTTAGGGTTTCGGGTCTGAGGGTTTAGGGTTTAGGGTCTGAGGGCTTAGGGTTTAGGGTTTAGGGGTTGGAGGGTTTAGGGGTTGGAGGGAACCCCTTTAAAATGACAAGGCCTGACCAGGAAGCGGTGAGAGCTTGCTCCGGGCAAAGCCGATCCGGCCATTCTTCATGTCGAAGGTGGTGTAGAAGGCACGCATGAACCTGGATGTGGTTTAGGGTTTAGGGTTTAGGGTTCTAGGGCTTAGGTCCTTACAAGAAGGGCGATACAGGGGATTTAAAAATGGACCCCCCAACTTGGAGAACTGCCCATCTGCTTGAGGTAGCCTGCAAGTGCCACAAACCCTAATGCAAAGGGACTTAGGCGACTGAGGTCTTAGAATGCAAAGTGCCGGTTCACAAGAAGCTTGAGGGTTCACACCCTAACTTGAGAGGAGGTGGTGAAACAAGAACTGCAATGAGGCCACCTTAAACACGGAAACCTCATGACTTACGAAATATCTCATCATGGTCACTTCGCACAAGTTCCTTCTCAGCAACCCAGTCGGCCCCCCAGACATAATCCTCAAGCCTGCGCCCTAAACCTCTCATCCAGCAAGCCTAGTCTACTCTCTGCTCAAGAACCCTCCCCCAAAAAAAACACAGAATATTCTTCCCATAAGGGTAATAGGGGGATTCCTACTTCTTTCTTTTTTGGGGGGGTTCTTAAGGAGATAGTAGCCCTAAACCCTAAACCCTAAACCCTAAACCCGAAACCCGAAACCCGAAACCCTAAACCGTAGTAGTGGAGCCCAGAAGCGTCATCCCGAAGATCAGTGGTACCGGCTGGCTGCTCGATCCGCGCTGGATGGAGGGGACGCAGGCGGTCCTCCGCGGGCACAGGGGCGCAGGGCTTTTGGGCACGGGAAGCTGGGCTTAGGGTTTAGGGTTTAGGGTTTAGGGTTTAGGGTTTAGGGTTTAGGGTTTAGGGTTTAGGGTTTAGGGTTTAGGGTTTAGGGTTTAGGGTTTAGGGTTTAGGGTTTAGGGTTTAGGGTTTAGAGTTTAGGCTCGGGTTTAGGGTCAGGATCCTGTTCGGGTTCCCTCAACCCTAAACCCTAAACCCCTCACACGTACAGGGCTGGGCGGTTTTTTTGGACTGCCAGGCTTGTGGAACGCAAGGCAGGAAGCGCAAGGCCCCAAACGCCGAAACTCAGGGCTTAGGGTTTGTAGAATGTAGGAAGCCCCGCGGCCATTAACCCTGAAATTCCCCCCAAGTTCGGCGTAGGGGATGTAGGAGTGGTTTAGGGCTTGAGGGTTTAGGGTTTAAGGTTCAGGGTTTAGGGGTAAAGGGCTCGAGGATCAGGGCGGGGGGCAGGGGTGGGGGTCCTTCCACGAATGAGGTCGACCGATTGTAGGATGAACTCATCCGGCGACATACACAAGCTGAACCTCAAGTTTAGGGTTTAAGGGTTGCTTTCGAAAACTCATCTCAACCCTCAGCCCAAAACCCAAAACCCAAAACCCTAAATCCTAAATCCTAAACACTAAACCCTGCTCTGTTTAATGGCTTCGGGGTTTAGGGGCTGAACCTCAGCCTTTCTCCATTGTCTGGGCGCTGATGTCGGGTTTAAGGCCTTCCTACACCTCATGTATACCCATGTAGAACGCGACACCCTAGAATTCCTTTGAGGGTTCCGATCCCTAAAACCTAAACCCTAAACCTTAAACCCTAAACCCTACTTCCAACCTTCGAGTCCTTGGGCATTCCGGTTGCTGAGTGAGGTTTCGGCGTTTCCTATGTATGCACAAAATACCCCTCGCCCTAAACCCTAAACCCTAAACCCTAAACCCTAAGCTGTAAAAAGCTACATATGTGTAGCAGTAGATCGGCCGGGTTCAAAATGGGAGCACTGGAGTTCGGGTTTGCGCCCAGGCTGGGCCTCGGCTGAGGCAGGTGCACCACCTTTTGGCTGCACATGAGTTGTGCTGTTAGGGTTTAGGGTTTAGGGTTTAGGGTTTAGGGTTTAGGGTTTATGAATAGGTTCCCTTACAGGGAAAGAAGGTGAATGAACAAATATCCCAGGGCAGGACCCAGATCAGGGTTTTAGACTTTTTGGGAGGGGCAGGTTTTGGGTTTTCTTTGCGGACCAAGCCAAACTAAATCCTAAACTCTCAACCCCAAACCCCAAACCCTAAACCCTAAACCCTAAACAGGGCATCCACGGAACTGGTGGCTCTGCTCCTTGGCTGGCACCCCACCACCGTAAACCCAATATCAACTCAAGCCCCAAAACCCTAGACCCTAAATCCTAAACCCCAACCCTAAACCCTAAACCCTAAACCCCAAACCCTAAACCCCAAACCCTAAACCCTAAACCCCAAACCCTAGACCCGAAACCCTGAACCTTAGAGTTTACAGGGTTTAGGGCTCTCTAAGCCTTGAAGCCCTGAAAGGCTTGTTTGTCGACTCAAGCACCCTGCTGCAGTCTAGGGTTTAGGGTTTCGGGTTTGCAGGAAAAGACCGCACATAGGGCGAAATAGCGCTAATCGGGCTAGTTATAGATAGAAGGCTCCACGAACTTCTTCACAAGCTTAGTCGAGGCTTAACAGGCTCAACAGACTTAAGACTGAAGATCGAGATCGGCAATCAAATGCTAATATTAAAATTAAGAATAAGGCTAACTAAAACAAGATGAATAAGCCCAAACCCTAAAACCTGCGATTGGGTTGAATAAGGCTCAAAGGGACAGCCCGTAGCCTAGGGACCCCCCCCAAACAATCCCAGAGGGTCCATAGGTGCTACTATTATGGAATTAGGTACCCAAAAACCATACCTCATAGGGCCCTAGGGTGCCTTTAACACCATGGTAGTGGGAACTTGTCCCCCCCAAGTGTCGTCGATGATGTTGATGACCAGCTCCGGTATCCTGCCCAAAGCTCTTCCGAGCTGCCGGGTTTCCAGGGTTCGGGTTTCGGGTTTGGGGGTTTGCTTAGTCTAGGGAGAAGGGTCAATTGCTTTAGGTGGCCCCCCCCCCCACCCCACCACCCCTAAACCCTAAACCCCAAACCCGTCTTCTGCTTGAAGGTGCAATAGGAGGAAGTTCTGGCGAACCCTAAACCCTAAACCCTAAACCCTAAACCCTAGACCCTAGATGTAAACCTTAGACGCTAAACCCTAAACCCTAAACCCTAAAAAGGACTGGAGCCGGCAGGCCTGCACACTTGGAGGCTGAGGAATGCTGAAGGGTTTAGGGTTTAGGGTTTAGGGTTTAGGGTTTACGGTTTAGGGTTGAGGGTTTGAGGGTTTGAGGGTTTGAGGGTTTGAGGGTTTGAGGGTTTGAGGGTTTGAGGGTTTGAGGGTTTGAGGGTCTGAGGGTCTGAGGGTCTGAGGGTCTGAGGGTCTGAGGGTCTGAGGGTCTGAGGGTCTGAGGGTTTAGGGTTTTGGGCTTAGGGTTTGAGGGTGTTATGGTTTTGGGCTTTGCGTTAGCCCTAACCCCGCCAAAAAAAAGCCCAAACACTCCACCCAAAAAAACCCTTCAAGCCCCGAACCAGCCCAACCCGAGCCTCGACAGGTCGTTCGCCGGCGGGCAGTCACAGGAAAGGATCCTACAATCTCATAGGGTGGTGGGGTGCCTAATGAATAATAGTACTATGGACCCTCTGGGCTAGGATCACGAGGTTGGTTTAGGGATGTTTAGGGTTTAGGGCTCAGGGTTTTGGTTTGGGGTGTAGGGTTCTGGGGGTTTAGGGTGTAGGAAGTCTTTTTCCTACAGCGATGGCGGTTTGATGGGGCGTTGGAAACTTCGGAAACTTGAGAGGAGATCGAGGGGTCGAGCAGTCAAGGTTTAGAGGGTAAGGCCTTCGCCTTCGGGTTCTTGAACCTCTTCAGATGTTACGAGGGCTTCAGGGTCTTAGGGTTTAGGGTTTAGGGCAAGTAAACGCAGCATGGCTGCTGCTGATCTGGTAGCTCGTGGCAGCCAGTGAAGCGCCACTTAAGCTCGCTGATCAGCCGATCGTAGATTCCTGACAATAAACCAAACCCTGAACCCCAAACCCTAAACCCTAAACCCCAAACCCTAAACCCTAAACCCTGAACCCTGAGTGTCGAAGCGTTCCCTCTCACACCCAAGGGCCCATACTCCAGAACCCGTTTTAAGAACATTATGGACCATGTTCAGGGGCCATGTAACTCACAAAAATAAGAGAAACCCCTCAACCCTAGACCCAAAACCCTAAACCCTAAACCCTAAACCCGAAAACCCTAAACCCTAAACCCCGAACGCATAAGGAGCCCTTGCGCAGAGGTGCCGGGCTCCATGACCAGCAAAGAGGACCCCGAGTCCACGAGGGCGGGCGCGCCGAGCCTTTTTGAAGGGGTTTAGGGTTTGGGGTTTAGGGTTTAGGGTTTAGGGTTTAGGGTTCATGGACAGTTTTTGTGGTCGTTTCTTGGGGCTTTAGGAGTCGTTGTTGCATTGGGCTTGCGGCCCTTGGGGTTTATGTGAACTTTGAAATTGACAATCACAGCCACTCTCGGTTTCTTCGGCGCACCCAACAAGGGCTCAAACCCTCCCACATGTAGGACATGCTGTCACGAGCACTGGGTTAAGCCTAAGGCTTAGAACTTGCATGGTCTTGTTTGGCTTCGGGTCTATAGTCTATAGTGATATATACATATATATATATATATACATATATGTATACATATATCTGCTATATGTATATATCCTTTATCAAGCTTCGGCAAGTGTAAACGCTCCAGGATCTTTGGGGTAGATTTTTCTCGCTTGAACCCTACAACCCTAAGAAGCCCCGAAAAGGTACCCTGTAAACCTGAACCTTAAAAACAAAAGCTGCTTGAAGACCTCAGACCTCCGAAGCCCTAGGGACAAATCCCCAATTCTTGAGGGGGGGTTCAAAGCCTACTTGGATAGGGGATAGGATTAGGGGGACCCTTGGGGACCCTCTGAATAAGGTCCCTGTTTAAGAGAGCCAGAAGAGGGTTAAGAAGGGGTTCCCTTTTGAGGGTCCCCCTTATCCTACCTAGGATTGGAGGCTTAAGGTCCTTAGGGTTTAGGGTTGCCAGTGCATCGCGGTGAAAACCTCAAACGAGGTTCGTGGAGCCCTGTTTTAACTGCACATGGGCGGCTATCAAGATTATGATCCCTTTTGGGGTACCCTAAAAATTCGGTGCGGCATTCTAATTAATAGGGATCCAAAAAGGGACAATAATTTTGACAACCGCCCACATGTACATTGTCTGCCGCGTGGCGTGCCGCGGTCCGGGAAGGTGACCTCGACCCCTGTGCCACTCCTGACTTTACTTCAAGTGTTGGGTTTTGGAGTCAAAAGGGGCCTAGAGTTCGGTGTTGAGTGTTTGGGGGCCCTTGGTGTATTCGGCACGCAAGCAGCTTCAGGGGGGCCCTGAGCGCGCTCTTGCCCGGAAATCTTGCGTAGGAAGCTGTCTGCCCTGAAGCTCTGAGCCCTAAGGGGGAGCTGAGGGACCAAGTAACTTGAACGAAGAGAGTGCCTGACGAAAGAATTGAGGGTCTCGGTAAGTTTAAGGTTTGGGGCTCAGGGTGTGAAGTTTGGTATCTTGGGGTTCAAAAATCTGCCTCAGTTGGGTTGAAATTCCCAACACCCTAGGGCCCCCCAAGCCCTAAACCCTAACCCTAAACCAAAAACCCCAAACCCCAAACCCTAAACCCTAAACCCTAAACCCTCTCTCCGTGGCCGGGGTGCCAGCCCACGGACCACACGCTGGTCAGCCAGAGGTCGGTGGTGTCCATGTATTCTCCCTTCCCGTAGTGGAACTCCGCCTCCTTTAAGAGGTCCCTTAGGGTTTAGGGTTTAGGGTTTAGGGTTTAGGGTTTAGGGCTCAGGGCTTAGGGTATCCCGACAGCCACGGTTTAGAGTATACGAGGTCCTTCTACGGTCACCCTAAGGTGGGTTTTAGGGTTCAGGGCTTCGGATTTAGGGTTGAGGGACTCACTGTTGAAAGGCTCTCATGAAGAGCCCCTGAGTTTCAGCAACCAGCATAAGCTCTGTGACACAAGCCTTAAACCCTGTAACCCTAACCCTTTAGGGTTTAGGGTTTAGGGGTTTGGGGTTTGGGGCTTCGGGTATAACCCTGAACCCAAAACCTCAAACCCTGTAACCCCGAGATCGCTGAACCTTAGAACCCTAGAAGCCCAAAAGCCCGAACAGCCCCTAAAACCCCCGAAAGACTTTAAAAAAAAACTACCACGCCCTCTAAAGACCCCAACTTTGGACTCTGGCTTCTCCTCGGCGGATTCCTCTCTCCCCCCCCCCCCCAAATGCCCCCTAAAAACCCTCAGGAAAGCCTCTAAAACCCTAAACCCTGAACCCGAAACTCTAGCCCTAAAACCCTAAACCCTAGACCCTGAACCCTAAACCCTAGCCCTAAACCCTAAACCCTAAACCCTAAACCCTAGCCCTAAACCCTAAACCCTGAACCCTAAACTCTGGCGACTCCTTGGCGTGGTTCGCCAGGTCCGGGTTCCCGATCACCAGCTGAGACTGATGAGCTCCACCGTCTCGGCCGGTCCTGACATCTGAGGGAGGGTTTAGGGTTTAGGGTTTAGGGTTTAGGGTTTAGGGTTTAGGGTTTAGGGTTTAGGGTTTAGGGTTTAGGGTTTAGGGTTTAGGGATTAGGGTTTAGGGTTTAGGGTTTAGGGTTTAGGGTTTAGGGGTTGGGGGTTTGGGGTTTGGGGTTTGGGGTTTGGGGTTAAAAGGTTTGGGGTTTAGGGTGTTACTTACCCTAAACCCCAAACCTGAAGCTTGAACTCTGAACTTTTTAAACCCTTTGCTCAATGCGGCCCAGGCACAGGAAGAAGGAAAACTGCGGGGGGACCTGTGCAGAACTGTGCGGCAATACTAACGGGGCCGAGGCACTGGCTAGACAGCTGACACCCCCAAAACTCTCTGCTCCCAGTCCCCAACATCCGATGTGCGGTGTCTAGTTCAGGGGCTCGGGTTTAGGGTTTAGGGTTTAGGGTTTAGGGTTTAAAGTTTAGGGTTTAGGGTTTAGGGTTTAGGGTTTAGGGGACCTTGCTTGCCTTTAGGCAAGCTCCCCCCAAAGGCCTCCGGATGCTGCTGGAAGAGCGTTGACATGAAGGTGGTACCATGGATGCCCCGCCCATGCGCGTAGTGGTGCGCTAGGCCCAGAATGCCATCCTGGGATGGATGGCCCTTATAAAACCCAATTAGGGTTTAGGGTTTAGGGTTTAGGGCTAATGGGTAGGGGATCAAAAAAAGATTATTTGGGATCAAAAAATAGTTTATTTCTAGGCGGATCAAAAAAAAACTTATTTGGGATCAAAAAATAATTTACTGAAGGCTTCGAAGGCTTCTTGCAAGCGGAACGGAGGCTGTAAACGCTCAGAAATGCAGCAGTTCTGGCCGTTCGCAAGCTCTAAATACCGAAAAAACACAGCATTTTTGCGCATTTCAGAGTTTCCAGAGAGGCTGCAGATATTGTTTGTAGCAGCAGTTCTGCGCTTTCAGAGGCTGGAAATACTGTACACTGCAGCATTTCTGAGTTTCCAGAGGCTGCAAATACGGAAAATAGCAGCATTTCTGCGATTTCAGATGCTGGAAATACTGTAAATAGCAGCATTTCTGAGTTTGCAGAGGCTGCAAATCAATGCTGGCATCTTGGCATTAGAAGTTTCAAAAATGCGTATACTCTGAAGCATGTATATTCTGGCATAGTATTGTGGAAATTCTTGCATAATATTGTATGACATTGTATATTCTTGCATGTTATTGTACGTTGTTGTATATATTGTTGAGTATTATTGTATTGTCTTGTGTTTTCTTATGTTTTGTGTGATATTGCATATTATTGCGAATTATTGAATGTTATTGTATATTTTTCAAATTATTGTATATTGTGCTCTTTTTTTGTAGGTTACTGTATATTATTGTATATTCTTGAATTTTCTTTGTATATTATTGCAGATTACTCTGTATTATAGTATATTATTGTATACTATTGTATATTCTTGTATATTATTGTCTACTATTGTATATCTAGTATTGTATATTATTGTAATCTTTTGTACACTATTTTATATTGTTGTATGTCTTGCTGTACATCTTTTGTATATTTTTGAAAAATATTGTATATATGGGCGTATGTTTTTGTATAGTTTTTGTATATTTTTGTATATTATTGTATATTGTTGTCTATTATTGAATATTATTGTCAATTACTGAAAATTATTGTAAGTTATTCTTTTTTACGTGTATATTGCTGCATATTCTTGTACATACTTGCATATTGTTGTATTTTTCTGTATTATTGTATATTATTGCATCGTGTTGTAATATATTCTTGTATATCATTGTATCTTACTGCGTCTTCATGTTTTTTTGCAAAAAAGTGCTCGCATCAGAAGGATTCATGTGCTTTGAAGCAAGCTTGCCCGGACTAAGAAAACAGCCGGGGGGGCGGGTTGGGGGGGGGGGCGCAGCCCCCCCCCCATTTGCAAACACAACGCTCGCATCATTGGTTTGGAAAGGATACTCATATGCTTTGAAGCAAGCTTGCCCGGCTTTAAGAAACAGCGGGGGGTTTGAAGGGGGGGCGCAGACCCCCCCCCATTTGCAAACACAATGCTCGCATCATGGGTTTGGAAGGGATTCATACGAGTGGAAGAAGCTTGCCCGGCGCCAAACAAACAAGAAATATGTATTGTGTATTATCAATTCTATATCAAATAGCAGTAAATATATACATATATGCTTTGCTATTTCGATTTTGTTATATTTTTATGATACAAAGGTATACTCTACGATACTGTGTTCTATTCTACTCTATGCCACTCTAAATATCTTGTTATACTTTGTTTTAATATATACATATATATATATATTAACATATGATGTTATGTTATGTTTTCCTACATATCCTTTCCTGTCCTTTCCTTTCCTTTCCTTTCCTTCCTTGCTTCCTTGCTTCCTTGCTTCCTTGCTTCCTTGCTTCCTTGCTTCCTTGCTTCCTTGCTTCCTTCCTTCCTTCCTGCCTTCCTTCCTTCCTTCCTTCCTTCCGTCCTTCCGCCCTTCCTTCCCTCCCTCCCTCCTTTTAGCCCTCCCTCCCTCCCCTTCCCTCTCTCCGTCGGAAGAACAGAATAAATTATTTCTTGATCCTAAATAAATTATTTTTTGATCCTAAATAAATTTTCTTGATCCTAAATAAATTTTTTTGATCCGCATCCCGTTTAGGGCTTAGCGGTTTAGGGTTTGGATCCTCTTAAGCCCCCAAAAAGGGGAAATACAAAACGTCCCAAGGGCCTACCAGGCATCCGACTTCATGTGCGTGTCGGACTCCATGTTATCTACCTTCGCAGTTCTCTAGGGGCCGCGAACTTCGCATAACTGCAGGTAAGCCTTGTCAATGAGGGTACCCTCTATAATTCATCCGGAAACTTCGCGTAATAGCGGGTGGCGATACATAAGCGGGCCCAGCATTATGCAGCCTTTACTATAGAAGGTACCCCTGAAGCCTAAACCCTAAACCCTAAACCCTAAACCCTAAAACCCTAAACCCTAAACCCTAAACCTACAAACCCTAAAGCCTAAAATGGGACCATGCTTTTAGAGAACCGGCCTGGATCACGATCTGCCTCTCCACCTCAAGGGCCCCGATCTTGACAGTGTCGTAGAAGGAGCCTCAGGGACCAAATGAACACTGACAGGGTTTAGGGTTTAGGGTTTAGGGTTTAGGGTTTAGGGTTTAGGGTTTAGGGTTTAGGGTTTAGGGTTTAGGGTTTAGGGTTTAGGGTTTAGGGTCTAGACTCTAGGGTCTAGGGTTTAGGGTCCTATGCCTTAATGGGGATTATAAACTATGCTAGTATAGGGTCTACGATGCCAACTTTAGGGTTCTGGTCATAGGTTGCCTTACTGGGGACAAATTATAGTAGGCCAGGGTATATGATCCAACTTTCAGGGTCCCTAAACCCTAAACCCTAAACCCTAAACCCTAAACCCTAAACCCTGAACCCTGAACCCTGAACCCTGAACCCTAAACCCTAAACCCTAAACCCTAAACCCTAAACCCTAAACCCGTATCGAAGGCGCCCCCGTTGGCCACCGTGCCGTCGCCGTAGTGAAAGTTGACCCGGGTGCCAACCTGCTGTGCCCGGCACGACATGCCGATGTCGAAGCGGAGGGTGCCAGCCTAGCACGCAGAAGCAGATCTTAATATGGGTTTAGGGTTTAGGGTTTGGGGTTTAGGGTTTAGGGTTTAGGGTTTAGGGTTTAGGGTTTAGGGTTTAGGGTTTAGGGTTTTTAGTTTAGAGTTTAGGGTTTAGAAAATCCTAAACCCTAAACCTTAAACTCTAAACCCTAAACTCTAAACTAAAAACCCTAAACCCTAAACCCTAAACCCTAAACCCCAAACCCTAAGCCCTAAACCCCAAACCCTAAACCTAAACCCTAAACCCCAAACCCTAAACCCTAAACCCCAAACCCTAAACCCTAAACCCCAAACCCCAAACCCTCAAAACCTTGTCCGCCTTGCACCTTGTGCAGTTCACGGCGGGCACCCATAGGTCCGAACTCCCAGTGTCCGGCACCACCTGCAAAAGCATCCGAAACCCTCTGACTAGGGTTTAGGGTTTAGGGTTTAGGGTTTAGGGTTTAGGGTTTAGGGTTTAGGGTTTAGGGTTTAGGGACTTCGGGTTCTAGCCTCTCCTGGGCTTTAAGGCTGCTGCTTCGGGCTGATATGGCATTGCAACTAGGTAGTTGCGCTTTCTTCTTCGGCTTTATTCGGATTTCTAGGGCTTATAGGGAACCCAACACACCCGAAACCCTAAACCCTGGGTATAGCCCAGAACTCCAAAATTGCGCCCTTGTGGAGGCCGGTGACCCGCCTGGAATCTCTGCGGCGGCTTGCCTGGGCAGTCCCCGCCCACCTCGATGTCCACGTGGTACCTATAAGATGCTCTCGGTTTGGGGTTTAGGGTTTAGGGCTTTTGGGGTTTAGGGGTTTTTGGGGTTTAGGGTTTTTGGGGTTTAGGGTTTAGGGTTAGGGGTTGGGGGCTCAGGGAGGCTTCAATCTACAGCCGAACAAGGCAAGCGCCCCAATGCCCGGACCGCTCGCGAAGCCCACGGCAGTCGAGGCGCTGGACGTTGTCGTAGTTGCCCAAGTGGTTTGGGTACCTGGAAACCCTAAACCCTAAACCCTAAACCCTAAACCCTAAACCCTAAACCCTAAACCCTAAACCCCTAAACCCTAAACCCTAGTGCTCTGAAGCCCACCACCGTAGGGAGGCTGCTTTCTATGCATCCGCACAGGAATTGTTCAGAAACGAAGGCCTAGCTTTTTAGACCCCGAAAATACTAGAACCACCTTGACAGAACCCCCCCCCCCCCCCCCCCTCTGATTTGCGCAGTTTTTTTCGAAACCTCCATCACTTGGAGCATGTTCAATTTCAAAGTCCCTCAGTCACCCGCCCAGGTGCGAGTCGGCGGGCGTCTTCAGCCGCCGACCCAGCAGTGGCCCCGGGATTGAGACTGGCCTCAACGGCCTTGGTGGATCCAATATTACAAGTCGAAACCCTAAACCCTAAACAGTAAATCCTCAACCCTAAACCCCAAACCCCTACAGGGTTTAGGGTTCTTTTAGGTTATAGGTTTGAGGAATGAATCCCAAGTCCTTCAGGGCGGAGGTAAGGTAGACGGGGCGAGGTATGGAGCAGCTAAGAACCTCTCACCATGCCCCTCGACTCATCCCCACGCCCGCGGCCAAGAATGCAATAATTTAGGGCTTCAAGGGACTATAGGGGTGTAGGGTATAGTATAGTTTTGTTTTTGTTGGGGGGGGGGGTGGTTTAGGGAATGTAATAATTTGGGGTTTCTAGGGTCTATAGGGGTGGAGGGTAGAGTTTTGTTTTTTTGGGGGGGCCGGGGTGGGGGGGTGTTAGGGTCTAGTTTGCAACCTGGAGGCAGGACAATCCTCCCCGTAGGCGCCTCCTCTGCCAAAGCCCTCAACGTCCAAAAGGCGAGGAGAAGGCGCAGCGGAAGGAAGAGGAGGAGGGAAACAGCCATTGCCGGGAGGCCAAACTCTAACTGAACAAACAGATTCTAACATCTGCCCGTCTGTCTATGTGCCGCAGAAGGTCACAAGGTCTAAGCACCTACACGCGTTGCAGGGTTGAGGGTTTGGGTGGGCTGAGGGCTCGGAAGGCCCAGGGTTGAGGCTCGTTGCAGGGCTGAGCCTCGTTTGATTGCTTAAACGGCCTAAAGGTTGGTCTTGCCTCAAGTCTACAAATCATGAAGCTTAGCGGGGTGAGGATCATAACTCTAATGAGGGCCTAGGGTCTTGCGTAGGCTTCGGGTTTCGGGTTTCGGGTTTCGGGTTTCGGGTTTCGGGTTTCGGGTTTCGGGTTTCGGGTTTCAAGTTTAGGGTTTAGGGTTTCGTTCATTCACCATGGACGTTGCGTTGGCCCACGTGCGCGGAGGACGTGTCGCCCTGATTGGCGAGGAGCCGCGCAGCTCCGGGCGAGTCATGGCATGAGATCACCCAGAGAGGGTTTAGGGTTTAGGGTTTAGGGTTTAGGGTTTAGGGTTTAGGGTTTAGGGTTTAGGGTTTAGGGTTTAGCCTGATTCCTACTAATTGCATAAGAACCTCCCCAAAAAAGAACTAGAATCTCAAGGAACAGCTGTTTTGCAAGGGTACCCAGTTCAAAGTACAGCTACTATTTGCTTAAGAACCTCCCCCCAAAAAGAATTATGATCCCTATATTGCCCTAGTACGGAGAAAGCCTTGATTTTTGGGGTGGTTCTTAAGCGATAACAGATTATGCGCGCGGATTCTTGACTTGAAGCTATATGGCCAGAGCATGCTTCTTTGGGAACAAAGAGTTGACTTAGCCAGCAAGATTCAAGAAAAGAATCCTGGCTTCTGGAGCATTCTGACCGCACAGGGCCCCTAAAACCCTAAACCCAAAAACCTAAACCTCAAACACTGTAATGTTGGACCCTCTTTGATGTGGGCCCCCCCCCCCCCTCCCCCTGAACAGTCGAGGCTGGATTTGTCCCTGTTTAGACGCTCCCGGAGGTTTACATGATTTTAATAGGGAGGAGTGTAGATAAGTCTAAAAGGGGCAGCGATGCCCGGCTATCTTTTTAAAGGAGCGCCGCCTGGAATTTTCTTACGGCGCCCGGACGATTTGCATGTAAAGAGGGACCCCCAAACAGTCAGGGTGTCCTGAAAAAAATCGGCGAAATTGTCTTGAAAGAGGAGGCCCCTACTAAACAGGGTCCAAGATTAATCCCCAGAGTCCCAAAAAGATTTCACTTCCCATTCGTCCAACGCTTAGAGGGTTCGCACCTCAACCCTAAACCCTAGGGAGGAGAGTGGGCTAAACTAAACCCAAGAGGCAGCTTGGTACGCCGTCCATGAAGACCTGAAGCTTGCGCCTCAGACGACGTTTGGAGGCTGGGAACCGTGTATAAAAACTCTCAACCCGAAACCCTAAGCCCTAAACCCTAAACCCGAAGCCCTGTTTTAGAGTTGAGGGTTAAGCACACTACGGTCCCTCTTCGTGGGTCCTTCTCCAAACACAGCCCATGTATGTTTAGGACCACTATGGATGCAGGGAGTCTTACGAAGTGCCTTGCAACGCATGGTATTGCGCGCATGCTTGCAAGCAGAAAGCGACCGAATGGGGTTCTGCAGGAGGGGTTGGGGCATGTCGGCCGTTGATGGTAAACCCTAAATGGCCTTGACGTCTGAAGTATAACGGGGGTTGAAATAATTAATAAAGGAAAAGCTGCCCCTCCATCCAATCGGCTGCAAGCAGGGCGCCCGGTGGAAGCGAGCGTCTCCGGAACGAGAAAGATGGCCGGGAGCCGGTCGCCGTCGTTGCCTGCTTGCGTGCACTGTAGGAGGAACGCAATCAGTTCCGATCCAAGAACTTGACAGCCAATAAACTCAAGAAAACTCATATCAATATTTGGGCTTGGGGTTTATGAGAGCGGCCCTCCGATGTAGGAAGTTGCAGCTCAGACTCGCTACGCAACGAGCGATCACTCAAGCTGACTCAAGCTATGCTTTCCTTGCTGGCGGTACAGAAACCCCCGCCTCACAAACCCCAAGCCCGAACCTAATTTGTGCAACCCCCCGGGTTTAGGGTCCGGGGTTTAGGGTTTGGGGTTTAGGGCCCCCCCCCAAAACCCGTCAAGCCCTAGACCCTGAAACCTACCTTAGCTGAATTTCCATGCTCTTGAAACCCCAATTCCACCAAGAACCCTAAACCGCGATCTATAATATTAGCTAGGGTTTCTAAAACTTAGTAAAGGATTACCTAAAGATTACCTAGAGATTGCCTAAAGATTACCTAAAGATTACCTAAAGATTCCCTAAAGATTGCCTAAAGATTACCTAAAGATACGGATGAGTGGCAGCAGCCGTTCCCTGTCGCGGAGAAGTGGAGGATGCTTAGGTAGTCGCTCCTGGCAGGCCAGGGGTCCCAGAGGGTTTAGGATTTAAAGTTTAGGGTTTAGGGTTTAGGGTTTAGGGTTTAGGGTTTAGGGCTTCGGCTTGTAGGGTTTGGGGCTTGAACTCGGGGTTGAGATGAGAGCTTCGGACCATGAAATTCTGGGATCGAGCCTGGGAGCCTTGCAAGAGTGCTTCCAGCATGGACTACCGAAACCGCGCACACCATACAGTCAGAGGCTCCTCAAGATCGAAATTCTACAATATGCCTTGGGATGTTCCCCCTATGCTAACCGTCCTGAGAAGGGAATACAGTACCCCCGATTAGAAATCCCTACCTAGGACTGTGAGCATAACGGGGAACATCCCAAAACATACCATGCTCCACAGAGTTCCAGATATTTCTCTTAAGACACTGGTGGTGTAAGTGTAAATGGGGGGCCTAATACAGGCGCCTTCATCATTAGTCCGACCCCCATATGAAGCTGAAAAAGGGGGGGGGGGGGGGTTCTCCAGGGTCCGATGCTGCGAGTGCCGCACTAAACCCCCCAAAATCAGGCCGTGGCAGCCCGGCCGGCTCCAGCACGGCAAGCTCCAACGACAGCGTGAACTCTGGGGTCATTCGCACCTGCACGTTTACTCAGACTCTCTACTCCTCTTAGAACCAGAATAAAAAGGGTTTAGCGTTTAGGGCTTAGGGTTTCGGGTTTAGGGATGCTTCTTGTAATATCCCTTGGCTTATACTCCCTTAGAACCATGATAAAATTGACATGTTTCATATCCCCTTGAGGTTTTATATGGACAAAAATGAAAAAGAAGTCCGATGGGAGCTATAGTGCTTGGTAGCCCAGCAACCATATATGGGGGTCTACGAAAACCAATATAGATCCCCAAAAACAAAGAATCAGGACCCCAATAATCGCAATTTCGGAAACCTGCTAACCCCTAAACCCTAAACCCTATGAGGGCGCCCCCTTTTCTTGGGATGGCTACTTTATCAGGGAACCCTTGAACTAAGAAAGCGGAAAAGGGTTTAGGGTTTAGGGTTTAGGGCTTAGGGCTTAGGGTTTAGGGTTTAGGGTTTAGAGATAGGGTTTAGGGGGGTACCAGTGGGCTGCCAAGTTTACGGATTTATAGATACTTGGAGCTCGCGGCTTTTCAGGGCTTCAGCAAACGGCTTGAGGGTGTAGGGTTACTTATCCTGGATGCTTTCTACCCCGAGCTCCTTCCCTCATCTCCCTCTGTATTTGCTGAATTTTCCTCGTATGACTTCCTTCGTTTTCCTCATGCGAGGTTTCCCTTCTCTAAGATCATTCTTGCTCGCAGAATTCTTCCTCTGTGTGTGTTTCAGGTCAGGCAAGCGAGATATTGAGGGTTTTGAACCTTCCCGGCCGCCTGATTGCTAAGGAGGTGGCCCTGCGAGACCTCGAAGGAGTCGAACCTCGCCAGTGCGCACATTTATTGGGGTAAGGACCCGTGTTATCATCTGCTGGCTACAGAGAAGAGACCCTAAACCCTAAAGCCTAAACTCTAAACCCTGTCAGATAGCCAAGTTGGGAAGTCCTAAAGCCCCTAAACCCGACATGGTTAGAGGGGTTCGTTCCAAGTGGCAGTCTGCCTTTCAAGCCGAGACCAGAGAAGAGATTCGGCCTTTTCGGTGAACGGGGAGAGACCCTGTGCACCCCAAACCCCCATACATATGTAAACTAAACCCTCAAACCTACATACTGATAAACCCCACAGCCTAAACTTCTGAACCCTCAACTACACGCCCTAACCCTAAACCCTAAACCCTAAACCCCAAACCCTAACCCCTAAACCCTAAACCCTAAACCCTAAACCCTAAACCGCCAACCCTAAGAAAGATGAAGAGCTGAGCTCACGGGCCCCCAGAGACGGATTTGCACGTACTGCTGCCAGCCCTGGCGGCCGCAGAGAAGGTCTGCAGTGGCTCCTCAGTAAGTTTGGGGCTTAGGGTTTAGGGTTTGGGGTTTAGGGTTTGGGGTTTGGGGTTTGGGGTTTAGGGTTTAGGGTTTAGGGTTTGGGGTTTGGGGTTTAGGGTTTAAAGGTTTAGGGTTTAGGGCTTGGGGCTTGGGGTCTGGGGTTTGGGGTTTGGGGTTTAGGGTTTGGGGTTTGGGGTTTGGGGTTTAGTGGCGCTGGTGATGCTTTAGGACTTAGGGTTGATAGGCTGCGAGAGGAGCGCGGGGGCTTTTTTACGTGCCCTGCATACGGAACCCAACACCTGCGACCGCAAGGTAAACCCTGACTCATCTACGATCCCTATTTGGGTGGCTGTCAAAATTGTAATCCCTTTTGGGGTACCGTAAATATTAGGTGCTGTATTCTAACAGGGATCCAAAAAGGGACTATAATTTAAGTGACAACCACCCATATCCTAAGCCCGAAACCCTAAACTCTCCCCGAAAGGGGCGGGTCCAAGGAGCGAAAGCCGCTCCGGCACTGCAGCGGACACATCTGGGCCAGGAGTCCGTTTAGGGTTTAGGGTTAAGGGTAGTTTAGAGTCTAGGGTTTAGGGTTTAGGGTTTAGGGTTAGGGCTGGGTGGTGGGTCCAGGGGCTCTGAGTTGAAGGGGCACTGGAGCTCTGGGGTTTGGCCTTTCTGGGGCTTATCGGGCTTCGTAAAGGAGCGGGATCTTCAACTCTTCAACGCGAGTCGCGGCGTTTGTGAAGGAGTTGCTAAGTCGGATCTTCAATGTGGTTTGAAGGTTGCGCAGTGGGGTTCCGAATGTAGCTGGGCCACGGCTACGCACACTCTGGCCACGCTGGCCACATGGAACTCGGCCAAAGTGACCCATGTAACCAAACTTCGAGCCTTACAAAGCCGAGATCATGTGATGCCGCTCGTTTTTGGGGATGCTTCTAGGCCTCGAAACCGTGAACCCGAAGCCCTAAACCCGAAACCCTAAACCCCCAAATCCTGAACATATCCCAGCCTTCCCATAGCGAAGCCCGCTGCAAGCGCTGAGGCTTCCTGGCAGCGAGTTGGCGATGCTGCCTGGGCAGGAGAAGGGCTTAGGGTTTGAACAGGGTCTTGGGGTTGGGGTTTAGAGTTTAGAGTTTAGGCTTTAGGGTTTAGGGCTTAGGGTCTAGGGTTTAGGGTTTAGGGTTTGGGGTTTGGGGTTTGGGGTTTGGGGTTTGGGGTTTGGGGTTTGGGGTTTGGGGTTTGGGGTTTGGGGTTTGGGGTTTGGGGTTTGGGGTTTGTGGTTTGGGGTTTGGGGTTTGGGGTTTGGGGTTTGGGGTTTGGGGTTTGGGGTTTGGGGTTTGGGGTTTGGGGTTTGGGGTTTAGGGTTTGGGCTTTAGGTTTTACGGCTCAGGGTGTAGGGTTTGGGCTTGCAGGGTGGGTTTCTCCTGCTTGGGGTGTTTCGTGGAAGTGGACAGGTTTTGGGGCTCCAGGGCTCCAGGGCCCTCTACGGGGTCACTGGATGCCAGCTTTAGTATCCAGACTTCTATTCCGCCACTTGGAGTGGAACGTCAAGGGCCCGAGACCACAAAAGATAAATCCCCAAAAAGCCCTAAAACCCTTAAGCCCTTGAAGCCCCCAAAAAAACCCAAGTTTCGGGGCCTGTGCAGGCTTAGGCCGGCACCTACCGTGCCGCAGGTCCGGCCGCAACCTGAGATCCCAGCTGAACTTATCTGAACTTCGAGGGTTTTAGGGGTACAGGGGGGGGGGGGGGTTGGGGCAAGGGGGGGGGTTATTGGGGGGGGCTTAGGAGCTATAGACCCTAGCGGGTTTCGGGCAACAAACATCCGAAGCTCGGAATGTGCTCGTCTCGTTGGTGCAGCTGTGTTCTTGATCTTCTGGATCTCTTGTTAGTAGCCATTGCCTCCTTATTTGCAGGTGCAAGGACTGGCTTAGGGCTTACTGGGTTTCAAACTTCCGGGTGTACGGTTTCCCTAAACCCTAAACCCTAAACCCCAAAACCCTCAAGACGAAATAAATAGAAATTGCATGTGTTCTCATTTTGAATTTCCAAGTTATTTGTCTAAACAGCTGACAAGCTGAGTTTAAGTAGTCAAGTCACTTCAAGTCACTTCAATTCAAAACCACCGCAAAGCCAGGCTGGCTGAAAGCCCCTTTACCAATGCCTGCGTCTGCGAGCAAAAAACAAAAGGAAGGGGCTTCGCATGATGAGTATCTGCGAGCAAAAAGGGAGGGAAGGGCTTCGTGCATGAGTTGCATGGAACCTTGAGCCAAGGAGCATGTAACGAGGGAGGGGTTATGAGCGCACGGACAAAAATCACAGAACAAATCCCACATATACAATGGTCCCAGCGACGACCGCAAGCCCGTAAAACAAACGTCTGACGACAAAACGTCACGGAACAAATCGTACATATACTATGGCCCCAGCGACTCGCGACGACCAGACTCCCACAAAGCAAACATCACGGAACAAATCGTGCATATATCATGGTCCCAGCGACGACAAAACGTCACGGAACAAATCGTACGTATACTATGTCCCAGTCCCAGCGACGACCAGAATCCCACAAAGCAGCTTCTGCCTCTATGGACTCTTGGAGCTCACAGACGGCGCTAGAGAAGGCGGACTCTGAGGGCTCACCGGCTAGAGAAGACTGTGGCTCTACGGACTCTGAGGGCTCACCGGCTCTAGAGAAGACTCTGGAGCTACGGATTCTGGGGGCTCACAGACGGCTCTAGACTCAGAGACGGCTCTGGCAAAGAGTCGCTCATTTCTTACGCGCCACTTTGCGAACCTTTCCAGAAGACTTCCGTATTATTAGTGCGGGACGCTTGTGTACAGTTCCTGGGCGAACTTCTATTCCAGGACGTCTATTCAAGGGCTCTTCATGCTACAGCGGTCGTAACAGCACCCAGCTTCACTCGACTCGCGTGCTCCCACCCCTGAGATTGCGCCCATCGCCATGACCACCCAAAGGCAACTTTCTAAACCCCAAATCGACGTGCAAATCCAGAGATGTGTCTGGAAGGGCTTCAATAGCAACTGCATCAGAACGTCAATCCTCTAGAAATACTGCCTCCTCACATCAACAACCATCTCCAGAGGGTCAACCGCGTCCTAGCAACAGGCAAAACAATTTATTCAATCTCGCGCAACACAAAAAAAGACGTGACTCCTGCAGTACAGCAAGTCTCAGTCGCTGACGAAGTTTGCTGGCAAGGCCCAGGTTGTCTTTCGTTGCTGAGCGCACGGGAAAAGTCCTCAAGAAGGTGAGCAAGCAAGTCCAGATAGGCGAGAATGTCACGACACCCATCCTCGACGGTTCTTGTTGTCCATTTCTCTGGCTCGCCAAATCGGCGACACAGGTGCTGAAAGAGTAGGCCCGACAGCTCATCCATCAAGACAGTTGTGTTCCTCGAGTGCACTGGAGGGCGGTTCTCGTACACCAAAACATGTTCGTGCGCAAACACCAAGCTGCTGCAGTAAGGCCTCGGCTTGGACCGTCGAGCTGCTTCAGCACCGCCCGTCCGCATGAACTCGCGCTGCCTGGCAAACGCCAATGGAGCATGCGCACGGCACCTCAGGCCAGCACTGATGAGGCACTCATCCACCTGCTCTGTGAACAGTGAGAGCTTTCTCAATATTCAATTTCTAGCAAGATGCTAAGTCTTTGAGCGTGTCAAAGGTGTTCTTGGGAAAGTCGAGCACAACCATGTTCCGCTTGATCACGCTCGTCGAGCATACGGCGGCGCCAGAAATATGACGCTGTTGCTGTAGCACCTAGGCTTCGAACGCTGAACGTCTTTGGTGCGTCCATCGCCTGTTATCAGACAACAGCCACAATGCTAAAAATCACCTTATCGCGGGCATATCTTACCAATACGTTGCGTTGAACACTGTCCAAATATGACGCTGTCGGGAAACACGATGTGCTAGGCTTGCGAACACCAGAGCCACACGGAGCTGCAACCGGAAGGCATCCTCATCTTGAACTCCTGCAAAATGCGCTATCTGCTATATGTCCTCACTGGATATGCATGAAGGCACACACGCATACGCTTGCACTGACGTAATTCGGCGGTCTGTATTCTGAAGTTGTTGCAATTTGATACTAGTCCAAGTTGAAAACCCCCCGTAGGCGTGCCACTCCGCACACATCCAACGTTCAAGGATACTTCCATTGCTTCCGCACGCATTATGCATGCAACGGAGACAGATAGGACCTGCCACCAAGCACACAGGGTACCCAAGCAACAATACGCGCGACAGAGTAGGCAACCTGTACCGAGTCGGATACAGTGCGCCGATGTGCTTTATGGAACTGCGAACCCTGAACAATCACTTCACAGATAACGGGTCCTGACAGCAGCGCGCGCAGCACAGGTGCAGCTGCTCTCTCGGCAAGCTTGCAGGCCAGCCCGCGCAGTGGAGTCGTGTCTGCTTTCATCGCCGAGGCGACGTAGGAGCTGCCTTGCACCGAAGTAAGGCTCGAGCACAAGAAACACAGGGATAGCGACACTCATCCACTGATTGATGCTCCGGCCCTTGTTTGGGGCACCTGCCTGCGAACATGCACTAAGCCAGGACAGTGATGGTGGTCCTTTTGTGGTAGCGACGCGTGACACAAGACGACGATCAGAATGGAATGATATCGTTGAGTTACACAGTCGCCGTCCCATGCAGTCAATCACAAGCCACTTTCAAAGACGTCACACAATCTGCAAATATGCTGGAGAAGCGAACTCCGACATCCTGTTATACCGTCTAGCCTCGTTAGGCCAGGTCAATAGTATGAGGCCTACCACCCCAAACAAAATTTCAATGATTACGTTTTGCCAAGTGATGGCATGCTCTTATTTATTAGAGACTGACACACACACACACACACACACACACACACACACACACACACACACACACACACACACACACACACACACACACACACACGCGTGTGCCCACGGAGTGTGTCCAGGCAGATATATTGCAGTAGATCGGAGATACGCAATGACCGGTCCTAACACTGCTGCCGTGACGCATCGGCCCGTACCGAGCTCACTATCCCAGGCCGTCTCTGTCCCCGTGACGTCTGTCAGCGCCTCTGTCTCCAAGTCCTTGAAGTTGTAATAGGCCTACCTGGAAATCGTTGCAACCCCCAAATTCGGAATTCCATGGAAAACGTCGAAATGAATTTCAAAATAATTTCGAAAATTTTCCAAAGATTATTATGAGAATTTCACTTGGAATTATCAAATATTAAATTTCAATTTCATCCAAAATAGTTCTAAAAACTATATATTCTCTAAAAAAATGTTCAAATAAATTCTGAGGTATCCAAAGATTCCTTGTATCATTTCTAAAAACTTCATGAATAATTCAATTGGAATTCTCAAAATTTTTTAAATTCTATCCATATTTTTGGGGTTTCCAAAAAATATTAGATATTCTATTGATAACCTCCAATCAATGTCAAAAAAATTGGCGAATATTCCAGAACTATTCGAATTATTGTAAATACAAAATTTGTATGA